TTTTCCATCTGTGAGCAAAGCACAGGGGAGAAAGGGAGTCATCTATGAAGGCTGGAATGCTTCAGTGCCCCAAAGGCATTGGTCCGAGATAGTGCATAGACAAGTAGTAACTTTGCCAGCTGAAGAATAATCCAAGGAAAGTATTTAATAGGTCTGTCTGGACCGGAGTGAGTGTCAGTCTTTTTGACAAATGAAGTCAGGAATATGAATGCAGTCAGGAAACTATGCAACATTTTCAACTTAGTACTGACCAAGTATGGACATTTCAATAGAAGATTCCTAACCAGTCACCATATGAGAACAATGTGACCAAAGTTATTAGTCCTAACACAGGTCTTTAACAGACATCCTAAGGGAAATAAGCTTTTTATCCCTAAAACAAGTGTTTAAAGGATCAAATAATCCTTGGCACTAAGAGTCAAACAATGGTTAAGAGTAGGGGAGAAGAAAATGGAGAGAAGTTCCATAATACCTCATCATGAACAATTTCTTGTAAGCCCCAGTACAAGCACTGGTTCTTACAAAAGCACGGAGCCAATTGGGTAGGTTTCCCTGACACCTCTAAGGCAGGAATCCAGCTCTGTCTCTCTCTGAAGGATTTTAAGTTCTGATGGTATTTCTGCAGCAGGGACTGTTGAGTGGAGGGGAGGGTCAATTCTACTACACACCATGGCATGTTAGCCCACAAAAAGAATATCCCAGCCCAATTCTCCACCCTTTCTGAACAATATATTATTTAGGTCACACAGGTAAGTACCACAAATGTGCAAGAAAGCCATACACAGTTCTGTTTCTAAGCTCAACTTCTAAGTTCCTCAGCACAGCAAACACTGAGTGGATGTTAGGGCAAAGGTGCAGGAATTAAGTGAAGTTTTTGTAATGCAAACATTTAATGGTTTCTTTTAGAAGATACATCTAAATTTGCTCTTTAATGGTTTCTTTTTGAAGATACATACATCTAAATCTGCTTTTAAACCAAGGAGCTGTGAATTCCAAGCCTGGATTTTGCTACAGATATCACCCCTTATTGCCATCATTATATTGCAAAACTTCAGTTTTCATTTCAGAAGAAATGTCTCCCTAAGCACACATACCAGCAGAGATGATCTTGGAAACATAACCTAGGTGTGAACTCACAAAGTCTTAACTGAAGAGGCTGCAAACAACCTGAAACTACAGCAAACATCCCCATGCACTTCTCAAGAGAACCATGCAATGTAGCAATTTGTCATGGACTTTGAGATTTTGCTAAAGCTAAATATTTTGGTTTCCTTCCCCCTTCCTGCTCTGCCAGGACCTACCTGCAAGTCCTTTATATTCCTCAGTTTTCCCCCAGTGACAAGTTTGTCGAACAGGTGCAGGAAACAAGAACTGGACTCCAACTTGTAATCAAGGAGTCTGCAGAGTCAAAATAATGGGATGAAAGAACAGCCTAGCAGCTTGATCAGCTGCCTAAATGACACAGGGAAGAAAATCTCTGAAAATTATCCGTAAATCTTACAAGCTTACATATTTTCAGCACCAAAATAGGTAAAAAACCCATTTTCTTATTAGGTCCAGATAAAGATATTTAAGTTTTATGAATTGAATGAGGGTTTATTAAGATTTATACATTGATTTAGACCACAAAGTCTATTATTACCAGTGAGTTTTATTTATCTCTAATTTCGCTAGAGACCCCCATTTTACTAAGTATCTTTCCTGTACTAAAGGCGTTACTGAATCTTCATGTAAAGTCATTGTGCTACACAAATGGACACTTACATTCTCTCTGCTGGTTCATAACTTAAAAGTGAGAACCACACATGAAGTTGAGGTGGGCACATTAAGGAACTGAGCTGTGGGCAATTACTGTTATATTTTCACAATCTATTTTCAAGTTTTTTCTGCTCGGCACAGACCGGACACGAGTAAGTACAGCAACTATGCAAGAGCAAAACCTGAGAGAAAGAAGAGATCCAACAAGGAAGGGAGGCCAGTATCTGACATTTTAAAAGGGCAAATCGAAAGCAATCAACACCCAACAAAATGCTCCATGTAGGATGAGGTGATAGCTTAGGATATACTTAGGATACTGTAATGAGGCTAACAAGTGCTGTGTGTTTTAATGTAAATTAACACAAGATAATCTCTTCACATATTTAAGTGATGCACTTCAAATTAATTAATACATATTTAATAGAAGTCTTCTTGAACAGCTGTTATTTACTTCTGGAGTTTCTACACATTAGCACTGCCTGCTTTGTTCTGCTCTGAAGTTGTTCATGCTCCAAAGTACTTTAACAACTTGGGCTGTATAAAAATTGAACAGTCTTCCCAAAAGAGACAGCCTTTCTGATAACTTAATATTTTTACATTAAATATTCAAACACTTTCTGAACAAAAGGTCAAATTCTACTTACAGCATCTGTGTGAAACAGGCAAGCAGATGCTTAATGCTGCTAGACAAATACTTTCAGCACAAAGAATGATAAAGAGTTGGCGATCAGTCACATTTCCAGGCTTTAAAATCAGCTTTCCTTTACTTCTGTTCCCTAAATTCTGTGCTTACCATTCATATGTAACAATATGGACCCAAATTATGGCCTGTTCCTTCCATAAGTGTTGCACAGTGGTGTGTTAAATGACATCCTGACAGTGAAACTGCTATCTACAGTATTCGTTGCATGTTATGAGTATTACACCAACTCATTAAGGCTTTTGTCTTACAAAAACTACTGCGTATGACTACTTCATTTAGACCTTGCATAAAGCATTGAAATAGTTCTCCCTGACCACCCCTTTTATTCAGATGAAAGCCCATTTGAGTTCCAGTCACTTCTGAGTTTTTAGGACGTGAATGAGTAGAAACCAAATCAAGAAACATGCTGGTAACACATTATATTTTCACACTCACAGTGATGAATATGACTTTTGGTAACTGTAATCACTTTCTTTAAAAAGTATCATCATCACTGAACAATCCTTATCAGTGTATTGGTTGTAGTTTTCAGCTGACTACTTGAAGATGTTTACTGTTCTTATGGCACTAGAGCACTGGCTAGTGCTCATTGCTTACATGTCGGCCTTTCTAGCTTACAGGTTTACTGAAAAAAACTTTCAAAGTAGGTAACAATTGTATTAGAAAATATCTGTTGGGACAACCATCATTAAGTCTTCTGTGCAATGACGTATGGAAACACATGCAACTTGTGAAAGGCCTGAAAACAGTCCTAAATGCACAAAGGTGAAAAACAGGTACTGATTTAAGCACACTGATATCCAAATTAATTCTTTTTTATTTAATGTGGTGTTTTTCACAATAAAGAGGACATAAGATGGAACTCATTACTCAGGCTAAGAACTTAAAGCCTAAACCAGATCACAGAATCATAGGATCATTTAGGTTGGAAAAGACCTTTAAGATCATCAAGTCCAACTGTTAACCTAACACTGTCAAGTCCACCACAAACCATGTCCCTAAGCACCGCATATATTCTTCTTCTAACTACCTCCAAGGATGGTGACTGCACCACTTCCCTGGGCAGCCTGTTCTAGTGCTTGATAACACTTTCAGTGAAAGAACTTTTCCTAATATCCGATCTAAACCTCCCCTGGCACAACTTGAGGCCATTTCCTCTCATCCTATCCCTCGTTACTTGGGAGAAGAGACCAACACCCACCTCACTACAGCCTCCTTTCAGGGAGTTGCAGAGAGCAATAAGGTCTCCCCTCAGCCTCCTCTTCTCCAGACTAAACAACCCCAGTTCCCTCAGCCGCTCCTCATAAGGCCTGTGCTCCAGACCCTTCACCAGCTTCGTTGCCCTTCTCTGAACACGCTCCAGCACCTCAATGTCTTTCTTGTACTGAGGGGCCCAAAACTGGACACAGTAGTCGAGGTGCGGCCTCTCCAGTGCTGAGTACAGGGGCACAATCACTTCCCTAGTCCTGCTTGCCACACTATTTCTGATACAATACTTTACCTGGTAAATATGCTGTGGATGAATGAGAGTGTGGAAGACAGATTTAGAAAGCATCTTCACGATCCTCGACTAATTCTGCACTGCCTATACCAGCAGCTTGGAGTTAGAGCTGCAGATGCAAGGAATGAGGAAGATGACCTAAATTTTTTTTCCCCCCTGAGTGTGGCTGGTACAAGACTGGTTTAGCTTTCAGACAGAATCAGTTTCCTGATCCCTAAGAGGCCACATGAATGCTCCTGCTGGCACAAGATAAATGGTGGGGACAAGTGGTTGGGATGGCACTGTTGGTTTTGATGGAAGTCCAAACACAGTAGATTAAAATGCCTGTGGAAACGTGGACTTTGACAAAGTAGTGCTGGCCACAATAAATAGGCACCTGAAAGGATTTCTATGCATTGAAACTTTGTCAACATATTTAGGAGGAAAAGGGAGAAAAGCAGAAGAATGCCAAGGTTGTCATAGGGTCTAAAGAATCTTTTTTCCAGGAGGCCAGCACACCAAAGACATTTCACTGCTTTTGAGGGAGTCATGTGGGAGACAGACTAGTCCAGAAAAAAAGAAACCTGAGGAGAAGACTTAATCTCATACTGTGATGTTCTGGAATCACCATCATGTTAACGAAACTAATTTACTGAAAATCATCTTGCCTTTGGAAGGAGGATGTATCTTTTGCTCAGAGAAGCATTGGCACTCTGCCAGCTGACACAAAGAATGTTCCCAGAGGACGGACACAGCTCCCAGTCCCAAGGAATGAAAACATATGCCCACATTTTATACAGCCATGACGTAACAGGTATTCTTTGGGTTATTTTAAACTTCCTTAGAGCTAAAGGATCAAATTCAAGAGAAATCTCTTCCAACATACACAGTGAGACTGTCACATTTTTCCTCTACATGTTACAGGAAAAATGAAAACCTGTGTTTACTTGTCAGATTTGGTAGAAAGGTTTCCATCATAATTACACCTTGTGTATTGGAAGGAATCTGGCAGTTTTTAACATCACTAATACTAGTCTGGAGAGGTACAACACTGTATGAGCTTGCTGAAAAATAACAATAAACCTTTATTAAAATTTCCAATTTTTGCAAAAACATTTTGACTAAATTCCAACTCTACTTAAAATGTAATTAAATATTTACATTTATTCTCTAATAAGTATTGTAAGTAAATCAATTTCCCAATTATCTTAATTTTTTGTATGGTATCCAATTACTACATTTTTGTAATAAATGCACAATTCTAATGAAAAAATAATGATCTTGAACTTTAATAGAGCCCTTCATTTGAGGAGATGAAAGTGCTGTACATTCATTCATTTATTATGTCTTACCACCCCCGTGTGATGTAGGTACTATTATCATCATTTTACAGATGGGGAAACTGAAAGGCTAATTAACTTGTCCAATTTACAATACTCTTAGCTGTAAACTTAGGGCATCATATTGTACTCACAGGCAAAACAAAGCTCAGCTCACCTGTGATGAATATTTACTACAAATTCTTAAACTCCATAAGCATTTTACTTATAGGAGAAAATACAATACACAAGTCTTGGGAGAGTTGGTTTTGCATTGGTGATGGCTCTGAGTACCACAGAAATGTGCTGCCTAGAAACAAACATCAGAGCACCAGTTTATTGTAAACTGTCACCATGTTTCCCAACTAGTTATGGAGATGATGTGCATTTTCATTTAATGTGATAAGCCATTCAAGCACACATTTGTGCTTTAATTCTGTACGATGTATCATACTGCGCTTAAACACACACACACACAAAAATACCGTTTGCTGACAAACTCATTCTCTCAGTTTATTTATGTGTTCCATAAACTTCTTTACTCGGTCAGGATCAACAGCATTTGCCCAATAACCTTCTTTCTTGAAATACGAACCAATTATTAGAGCGTTTGCATCCAAGTAATTCCTCACATTCTCCAGAGTCACTCCAGACCCAATCAACACAGGAATCTTCACAGCATGTTTAACCTCTGAAGAGAAGAAAACCAAAATTACGGTTATGTCCCATCTTTGAAACTCTATCAAGACTCTAATTTGCATAATTTTTCAACAATAAAGAAAGGTGAGTATCAAGAAACTCACAGTATTTCTTATTTCTACTACAGAATGAAACAACTTCTCTAGAAAAAAACACCTTTAGCTCTGGACAGCTGTTAAGAAAAATCTCGCTTTTATTTTATTTTGCATTCTGTTGTCATATGAAACGCTGCAGAAGAATATTCATGGCCCCATATCAGAGGATGGTTTCAGTGCTATGGAAGATATGAAAGTCAGGTCTTGGTACCATACCTGCACCCCTCTTTTTTCTCAAGGAACAAGATTTAAGCAAGTTAAAGTTGAACTGGCTGGCAGAGAATGTACTGCATTTTACTATATTCCCTCAAAAATTCATTTTTATCCCACATCCCTGGTAAGAAGAGATGCTGGATGCAGGAAGTTTTTGCACAGCAGGACCAGACCCTTTTACTTACTGTGACTGTTACCATCACACTTACAGGCTCCGTTGTGCTTGAGGTACTGTACACATTTACTACTGCGTCGCAGTAGCGCCCAGTATAGATTCCATGCAATCAGGTCCATTGCCTTGACAAAGGATTTACTGATGCTGGAGTGACCATGTGGTCTCCCATGCCCCATGTGGAGTCTTAACTGTATTCTCAATTTCCCTCACCTTAAGATGTGAATAATCACCTCCCCCAATCTTTCCACGAAGTAATCAAAATACCGCTACAAGAATAAGATGCCATTCTTGCTTCCATTCATTATATCAGCTCAGATTCTTTTTTGCAAGTCTGGTGAGATCATTACAGTGGCAGAACTATTCAGCAGAGCTGTGCTCATTACAATTCTTCAGTCATCAGTTTAAATCACAATAATGGTAGTTGGACTGGTGTGTATTTCTGCCAGGTCTCCTTGCTGAATTTATGCTATGTTGACAACTAGTTGAAGATCTTCAGTGAAGAAACAAGAAGGGCCTTATTCACAGGGAATGGAAAAGGAACGTGCTCTCTACTTCATGATAAATTTCAGGGACTTGGAAGTAGGAAAGCAAGCAGTGGTCATATAGACTACATTGATAGCTCCAGGTAGTTTACCAGAAAGCAAAAGATAGCACTGATAAAGACTAGTTCTCTTTCTATGAAAGGCAATGGAACAAAAAAGCCAATTATTTTTTCTATATACAGCATGTGTTAGAATCATAGAATGAATCATAGAATCATAGAATGCTTTGGGTTGGAAGGGACCTTTAGAGGTCATCTAGCCCAACCCCCCTGCAGTGAGCAGGGACATCTTCAACCAGATCAGGTTGCTCAGAGCCCCATCCAACCTGACCTTGAATGTTGCCAGGGATGGGGCCTCCACTACCTCTCTGGGCAACCTGTTCCAGTGCTTGACCACCCCCATTGTAAAAAAACTATTTCTTACGTCTAGTCTAAATCTATTCTTCTTTAGTTTAAATCCATTATTCCTTGTCCTGTCACAACAGGCCTTGCTAAAAAGATTGCCCCCATCCTTCCTATAGACCCCCTTTAAGTACTGAAAGACCGCAATAAGGTCTCCCCGCAGCCTTCTCTTCTCCAGGCTGAACAACCCCAACTCTCTCAGCCTGGCCTCGTAGGAGAGGTGCTCCAGCGCTCAGATCATTTTTGTGGCCCTCCTCTGGACCAGCTCCAACAGGTCCATGTCCTTCTTGTTACTTAATTATCTCACCTTTTACCTGGTTCCAAAAGGAGAAATAGACAAAATATCAAAACAGGGCTCAAAATATTACAGATCCATTTCATCCCTCACGCACAGGGGTGGATTTCAGTCCATGGTTCAGGTGATCACGGTCACTGTGAAATGCATGCATTCTGACAGACCTGATTGTGCAGAAACTGATTTACAGCTCAGTTACTGTAGTTCAAATTTTTTATAATAAAAACAAAAGATGATGGCTGTTTTGATCATGGAAAGGTTCCCCACAGATAAATAAAAGGTTATTAGAGTATTTTCTGCAGAACTTGGGTCAGTACTAGCTCTGGAAAAAAAAAAAAAATTAAATCCCAGTTCAAGAATGACTAAGCATCCTTCTCATCCTTTCATTTGAAATTGACCATCCTAAAAGTCACTCATAGGACTGGATGCTTCATCCCTTACTTAGAGAAGTGTTGTGAGGCATTATTTCTGGCTTTTAAAAACATATGAATTGCTGTAACTGGTGATAAGCTGATGTAAGATGGTTAGAGCTTGAAGTAACTAGGGAAAGCATATACGCAACATATAAAAGACTGCTTCAAAACACTGTTTGTTTAAATAAAGTTTCATCAGAAGCCTAACTTATTAATAATACTTCAGGGAAGACTAATTATTTATCACCTTCCTACTTCACCGAAGAAAGGGGATCAATTAAAATGCTCTTGACTCTCTTTTTAGGTCACATGCCCTACCATTTTTTCCATCTAGGAACAATAACTCCTTCTTGTAAACATTTTAACACAAAAATAAAACCATTCCACATAGTCCTTATTGAAAATTTTAAACAAATCGGATGGATCATGCATATATGATTACAACTATAGTTATTTCTATGCATATTTTATATTCTTATAGTCATCCTGTTTATGGCAAAAAAATAATTAATTTTTAGTTATTTATAGCATTACTACTGAAATCCTATTCTAGAAAAATCAGAATTTTATTTATATAGTATCTACGTGCTCTTAGAAATATATCTGCTTTACATAGATGCCAATGCATAATTAAGGTGCTACAACTGACCAGAGATTTGTGCAACAGTACTTTACTGTATTCCCAGAGGAACTTCCTTCCAAGTCAGTATTTGTTTTTATGGCAAGTGCATAAGGCACATTAACAGGTAGTTGTTTTACAATTATTTCACATCAGCAGGAAAAATCAAGAGCCAAATAATTAAACAGAGCATGATCACATGGGTGTAAGACAATAGCTTAGCCCTACTAGGCAGAGTAAAAACCAGTGAAACCTGAGACTGCTCTAACACTAAAAAAACCCCAAAGCTTTCCAAAGTAGCAAGGTATCCAACTCCTGCTGTGATCCATACATGACACATGGAGCCCACACACATCTCCTGTGCTGAAGATTTATTCAGACTGACAATGTGAAGAATGGCAATGGGAGTGCTCAGTTTGCAATGAGACTGTTACTTAATTAAATGTGCTGCAGATGCTACTTTTAAGTAATTTCCAAGCACATCAAGGCCTAAAGTTGATTAGTAGAAGGTGATTTGTCTATTGGCTGTGTTAATACAAATTCTAACTTGTGAAAAAAAGAAAAATAGCAACAGTGGTGAGGTAGCTTTTGCAGGGCAATGTTTAGTCACTGTCAAGATGTCTCCAAACATAAGAGCTTTGCTTTAAATCTCTCCCAGCTTTCTTAGCTTTCTTCTGATTATATTTTTTCTGACGCAAAGAGAAAAGGAGACAATTTTGTGATGTTACAGTAACAAGATCCTAAAGTTTACACAACTTGCACATTTCTCTATTTCAATAAACTGTAACTAGAGGGCACTGTGCTCTTTCTTGTGACAGTAGATCTGCAGACATGTCTTTAATAAAATCAAATTAAATAGTGCTTGGTTGCAAAGCACAATGAAAGCATTTGAACTATGGCATGCACAAGTTACATGAAATAAAGGCCAAATGCTCCTAACTTGACAACAATGGCGAAGAGCAGCGTAAAAATAAGCACCACTGTGCCAATAACTTGCTCGACTACTCTTCTTTAACAGCTTTCTCATACGCAGTAATCACTGCAGTGTGCAGTACCATACACAACACTGTGTTTATGGTAATGCTCCACTGTAACGCATTTTAGTTTTTTAATTCAAAGGACTTTTTCTCTGTCATTAAATCTAGGGCTTATAAAAAGTACAGATCAGAGACTCACATCTCCTGTTCATCTCTACGAGGGTACCGCAAAGGCAGCAGCCTCTATTTTGACCTAAATGTACCATCAAAAGGTGAGAGGGTGATTCAATCTTGATGTCCCTTTTATGGACAATAACTAAGGAGGTGGCAGTCACAGCCAGCTGTTGAGTTTCATGATGTACCCCATTTTCCACTGCTTACTCAGCTGAGGCCATTTGCTTTGTTCACACAGATAACTAAGCCTAAGCAGTCATTACACAAAGCTTTGATCACTTAAAATACAGCCTGGATGTGAAGCAGGTATTTCAGCAGTTATACCCAAAGAGAAAACCTGATAGATTCACTCTCCAACCAAAGAACGTTTCACAATGTAGCAAACTGGAACAAACTTCTATAACCTCTTAAATGAAAATATGGTTTATTAAATAAATTAATTGTAATTCAAAATGCTTAGCTATAATCCCTGCTCCTTAATAACCTGAAGTCTGACTTTTAGTCCTTGTACTCTGTCGACCACTGCTGCCTGGTATGCCCAGAGAGCCCCAGAGCAAAGCCTGCCAGCTGCTGCAAGGAGCGATACTGATGGTTGCCTACGAGAAGGCAGCGACACAAACTACAAACAAAACCCTACTGAACACAGTTCTCTGGCTTGACAGGGAAACACTCATTTCCCACACGCCATCACAAATCAGTCAATTCAACACAGAGACACAAAGGCAAAAACACTTCTATATTACGGCACAACAAAGCCGAAAAGAAGACATGACAAAAATCTCATCTGTCTCTTGGTTCTGCTTTCAAGAGATGCTTTGCAATGTGATGAAAGGTGCCCAATTGTGTGTATCATTGTAATACAGCACTTCCAGGGCTGCATAAATTCGTGAAATGCAAAATTTCACTCACATCAACACCAACTTTGTAGACTGTATATCTGATTCCTTTTAAGAGTCTGCTGACATAGATATGCCTAATTTGTCATTTCCTTATACCTTGGAATATTGATTTTTAAGTTCTTCTCTTAACTGTTTTAAGACAACATCCTTCTTACAAGAGGGCCTCCTAACATCCAAAATCCTGTGACTTAAGTAAAATAAGTCTGTGATCCACAGATTCTTGCTTTCATAGCAGAAATCCAAACACAAAATTAATGTTTGTACCTCATTACAGCTGCCAGCTCTGACTCATTTTGTTCTTTGGACCCAGAAAGAGAACAAGATGGAGACTGACATGCTTGTTCACATGAAAGAAAAGCAGAAGCCATGGTGCTGTCTGGTTGGAGTCCTGTGATAAAAAAACCTATGGGCCTAGAGGTCAGGTTTTGCTCTCTGATACAGGAAATCAATGGAGGTTGCATGTGTGTAGGTGAAAGCAGAATTTAACCTAGGATTCTGCCCTAAGACTTAACAAATCCTTTTTGTTTATTATTTAATCCACATTAAGGGTGGTGGAGACATTAATTGCAGGCAGGGATGGAGCTCTAGAGTAACAAAATTCTGTAGTCTCAAAAGTATGCCTAGCTTTCAGGGTCACCTGTTCCATGTATCATTTCTAGTTTACTGTACCAAAAGACCCAACTAATTCAAGAGTTCAATATTCATACCAAACTATCATTTTAACATTGGCGATTGAAGCATAGTAATTTATAACTTAGTGGCAAAAATTTTAATGTGTATATATTAAGATTTATAGTTAGTCAGTTTTCCAATAAGGCTAAAGTAGCTTTTTCTTATATTAAGACTTTTTAGAAATGGAAGAGTCGATTTTTTTTTTTTTTTACATATTTTACATACGTGTTTTCCTTTTTTTTTTTTCATTTAGGCTTAGCATCATTCAGTGTTATAAAAGCTCGAAATAATTTTCATTTTTGTCCCGCCAAATTGTTGTTTAGAAACATACTACAGCCAATGTGAATAGCACCTCAATCACATTAGTTCTGCTGTATCAAATCAAATCCTACAGTGAGAGTTTCTTTTCTTCCCTCTTTTTTTTTCCTTAAGGAACAGCAGATATATAGATTTCTTTCTACATTAATCCAGAAGCTGATTCACTGCCTGTTGTCCGACCTTCGTATGACAGCTCTCACCTTTCAGCTCCTGGGGATCTGCGGGCAATCCGGTCGCTGTGCCAGTCAGTACAAGCCCATCAGCCAGGAAGAGCTCGGCAGCCGAAGCGGTCTCGGCCACGCTGACATCTGCCGTCAGAGCGTGAGCACTGTAAACAGCAGGAACGTACCCCATGGTTACTGTCGGCACACACATTTGTTATCCATCTTGTTGAATGTTTAGACTGCATTTCTTCATCTTCCCCGCTGTCAGAACAACCAAAGGCAGGCTTTGTGAGAGAGGGTAAGTGTCCTGTTTTAAAATGGGAAGTAAAACTGCAATACAAACAAGAGGGAAAAGCCCAGCCTTTTCCATCAGGGAACCATAATTGATCAGTCTATCACTCTGGGTCTCCTGTCTCTAAAGAGTGATTGCTAAGTGTGAACTACAAAGTGTCAACTGAGACAGCTGCTTACATGTCAAGCACCTGTATTTCAGAAACGTTGAGCACACACAGCTCTCTGACTTCAAGTGGGAGTTGCGGATGTGCAGTCATTCATAAATCAGGTTCTGTTGCCTAGAACAGAATTAACACCCTCCACTTCATTTCACAAAGTCCAACTAACAGAAAGCATAGTTATTACCTACGATATAATCACAGGAATCATCTTACACAGCAGTTACAAACATCACTTACCTGCAACCTAGCTTTTCAACAGCAGTCTTTGATATATGGGTGGTGCACTTTGTCTGAAACATATGTCAATAGCAGCTTTAAATTTAAATGGTTCTAAACTTTGAAAGAATTCCAGCCATTGCTGGTTCAACACCTGACTTTCTTGTTTCTATATTTCCATTTAAGTAGAAAACAATGGCTATGGCCAACATGTTGCACTGATGAGTGGTGATGGAGCCAACCTCTTTCCTGGATCAGCCTGGATGGACAACGCTCTTGGTGGTGGGCCATGCTATGGCCGTATTCAGAGGCAGAATGTGTGTGCAGTGCATTCCACTCATGGTGATGGATGCAAAAGGAAGAACGCTAACTCCCCTTCTGCAGCTGGAGAAAGGCAGGCCTAAGTACCTAATACATAAAATGAGGTTGAAACGGGACTTAAGAGTAGTAAGCACCCTAAAACTACCACATGGAGGGTAGCTGTAACGCAGCAAGTAGACTACAAAAATAGTTTCTCCCCATTTAAAGCACAGGAGGACTAGCACCTCTCAGTGGCAGGCATGTTTTTCTACATTAAAGGACTCAACAAACAAGTCCTTTAACATTTCCTTCTCAGCTTATGAATCTGCCTGAAACAAAAACCTCTTTTCCTTTCTTAAAAAGCAAACCCTTTGAACAACAGGAAGTATAATGCAAATACCAATTCATCAACTGTCAAGACAAAGGGGGGAAAAAAAAAAAAATCATCACATGATGCAATGCATTTTTTTATAAAAAAGTCTAATGCAATGTATTTTATTTTTATATATATACACACATACATACATATATGTATATAAAGAAATCATTAGAAAGAAACAACTCTGAAAGGACCTTAAAAGCTTAATTTGGCCACGCTGCATTTGTTTCCTTTCTGTTTTGAAATTTATTACCTGTTTATTAGGTATTTAAGATCTTCCAGACTTGGTTATTCTCATGATTACCCACATACTACACAGAAACATTTTAATTAGGTTATTTAGCATGTATAATACATAACACTTGAGCAGTTCTTCTGGGGAGAAAAACCCAGAGTGACATCTAAATAGCTGAAAGTATCATGTGACAGATATGATAAAGTATCAGCAGAAAAGAAACTGGATTCATCTGTCGTAAGTTCCTTCTGTTTGGTAATCATAGAACATAATCCGTACATAGACAGCACTGGTTTAAGTAGAAGAAACCAGTATTACTGGCAGGAAGGAAAAAAGAGACTAGCTTTTTAAAATGCCAAAATATTATGATTTGGATGCTTTTATATGGCAACTGCTTGCATAACTAAAAATAACCTTGGATGCCTAGCCTCCAGAAACAAAATTTCTTTAAACGTAATAGGCATATACACAAGTATACAAAATCTCACCTAATACCAGATGCAAAACTTTTGCAGTCTGCATTTATAAATCCTGAAGGTTAAACAACTGCATATTTCACAGATGCAGCAATCTGCAACTTACAGGTGAAAAGTTATTTTTAAACGTATCCCCTAATAGCACTGCACGACCTTGCTTGAACGATAAAGTTCCTATATCATTAACTTTCCTGACACTAATTAGGCATTAAAATAAAAAATCAGAAAATGGAGAAAAATATAAGATCATTATTACATTCATACTTACATAAAATATTGCTTATATTTACCTATGTTTCTTTTTAATATCAGCAAAAATCTGAATGTTCTCTGCTCCAACTTGTTTTCTGTATCGTAGCAGGTTACCTGCACAGGCATTTATAATCCCTTCATCAGCAACATGAGAAAACACAAACCCTTCAGCCCGGATAAAATCAAGACCTGAAAAAAAAAAAAAAAAAAAAAAAAAAAAAACAGCAATATCTTAGCTAAAACTGAACACTGAAAAGCAGAAATACTTAAACAAAACCCCACCTTACTGCCCCTCTTATTTGATCTCAACACAAGTTGTTCCATATGCTCTAGGACTAACCAATCTTGCTTTTCCACATATGTAAGTTTTACATTCTTTATTTTCACCCATATTCTCTCCAACTTCTTCTTTCCATCTTATTACCTTCAACGCCCTTCTCTCCCGCAGAGCCCACCAGTTTTCTCCCTATCCCCACAGCTCCCTTCTCTTTCTCAGCCCTTATCAGTTTGTTCCTGCGTGGCTCAGAACAGTGAGCTGCACACCCTGCCCTGCCTCTTGCCATGATGTGCCAGTGGGCACGTGCCAACAGAGGAGCAGGTAGGTCAAAACACAGCTCCTTTGTCCTAATGATGTGTCTTCTCTCCAAAAAGGGTCATTAACTTGGGTCTCTCCCCTCTTTCCAGATACTCTTTCATCGTATTACTTCTTCCCCAACATCTATTCCCCTGTTATATATGCCTGAAGTTGGCCATCAGGTCAAAAAGCATCAAGGACATGGACACAGACAAAGGAACAGCATTAAGTTTTCTTTCTTTAGGAAACTGGGCAAGAAAACACAGCCCACAACACATTATATACAGCCTGTTTGACTCTCCATCTGAATCTGGCTTGTGTTTTCTACACAGTACCACATCAACAAATTACTTCTAGAGCTGTGCCAAAGGTACAAAAAGATAAGGTTTAGGAAGAGTGAAACATTTTCCACTCTATTCTGCACTTAGTCCAACCATCAACTCTACCATGTCTTAGCAACACAGTTTCCACCATATTAATTCATTTTTTGCACTAAGAAGGTTTTGTGGGATGGAGGCCATTTGTCTACTACATGGCCATTCACACAGGCCATTCATCTACTCTCAGGGACCCCCTACACAGCCCTGAAATATCTGTGTTGAAATACTGAAGCCATGGTGTAAATAAGCCCACAGCTGTGAGGCACAAGACTGAATTCTGACTCCCTTATTGTATCCCCCTCTTCTCTCCAGCCATTCATTGCCTTGAAGTTTACTTCACCCATCACTTAACATACGTGTAAAAGCTCTGCATTCATCTTGTGCAGCTTTTGCTGTTCTTCCAGTTTACTTTAGAGGTCTCTTCCAGGCCCTTCTGAAGCTCTGCTGCTGCTCCAGCTCTGGAGTCAGCTGCACATTTAGAGCTGACATCATACCAAGGAAGCCACTGCATGTAAAAGCAGCCATCAAGAATGCAATCCCACCCACCAGAGAACTGCTTAGGTTACAGAGGCCTCACCTTGACGCATTTCAAATATAAACATAAATGATCTTTAAAACGTATTTACCAAATGACAAGGTGCCTGTTTAATTTAAAATTTCAGTTTCATTCCAAAAGCCCTGAAGTTGCAGAAACAGAAGCTTATGCCTGATAGAGAAGAGCCTGTATTGCTTAGCAACACAGACTCCAGCAAACAACAAACATCACAGATGGATGCCAAATCAAATATGAGCTGTCCTGTGCCTTGAGATTAGCGGGTGAAAAGCACGGAGTTCTCAGGATCCAAAGACAAGAGTGTGCCACAAGTATAGTTACAGGTGCTAGTAGACATTGGGTAATAAACACAGTGCAAATAGCTAGCTTGAGAGTTTTGCATCTAGGAATGAAAGCTATAGGTTCTGTTTAAATCACCCAAGTTTACAGTACAATTCAGAGCTAAATAAGAAAAATTACTTCTCCTGTAATCATAAGACTATCAATGAGTCCAGAGATATGTTACATTTTCACAGCAATCACAATGTCTAACTCAGGACAGGGGCTATTCATTGAGTAATTTCATTTACTGAAGTCACTGCTGACATGTTGTTTGTTGATGCTGGGTTTGTGTTTCCTTAACTGAGTAATTTTAAGACTTTCTGCTAAACATTAAGATTGTACTTAGTTTAACAAGGCTGTACTCTGTATCTAGGTTTTTGGGGGCTATGAAAATACATATTTTAACCAAGTGTAATAGGTGCAGGCATCAAACCATTACCCTTCTGTTTTATGAAGCCATAATCAGATTCTGCTAATGAATTCATTTTTACGCTCATAAAACTGTGAGAATGATACTATTGCTTACTTTCACATTTGGCAAGTTGAAAAGTAATAGCTGTTGAATAGTTAATAGGCAGTCCCCATTTCTGACTTGTATGGGAACAAAAAAACTTTGTGATCTCACTGGAAAACAAGAGCAGGAAATTTCCAACAAAACCTAATAAACAGAACTTCAAGACTGTATTAAGAACATGGAATCAAGTAACCAGCCACTGCAGTGCCTGTTCAAGGAACTAGAGCTTGTCTCTTTTTCAAAAGTTAGTGTTACTCCACTTACTTTAAACCTACTTAAACAGCTTTACCTGAACAGCTGTGGAGGTCTATCAACTGTAGAGAAAAGCTTTTTTTTTTTTTTCCTTTCCTTCCCATGATAATTCATGATTAAAAGGAAAAAAAATGACTGAAACACTTCTTTTGCTGGGTGAGAAAATATTGCAAGACTGAGATCATGGAGGAAATAGTACTTTTACTTTATCTATCTTAAATGCTGCAAATGTGCATATCACTGCATTTTAACACCACAAAACAGTGAATTGGATGCAACCATTGAGAATCCCATTCTCAGGTATGTTCCTTCCTTGAGTTATAAAGTTAAAAGGAGCTGGGAGCTAGGATTTACTGCTTTCACAGAAATGGGATCTGGCCTCTGCAAGGCAGCAGCTCCTGGTTGGTTCTGAATTTTAGACTTCAGGCAAACATCTTTGCCTTTACACAAAGGCAAGGTGCTGCAGGTAACTTTACTGGTGATACCTTGTTTTATATGCACAGTAAATCCTGGCTCCTAGCTCTTCTTGCCTTCCTAATTCAAAAAGAATCTGAAATACTGATTTTGTGCTGAAAATGAAAACTCAGAGGAGTATTGATGTTGCCTGCTATTGATGCTAGAGGCATACAGTCTCCGTGCTGCAAAGACCCTTTAGTACACAGGACATCGTCTTACAGCAGCCCCTTCCATGCTCAGCAG